TTGCACTGTCCCTTTAAAAAAAAAAAATGTATTCACATCACAAGAAATGCATGCATCCCTTGTGATAGAAATAATTAGTGAGAGGTCCTCTTTATGGAGAGATATGGGGTCAATAAGACCCCACATCTCTCCTCTGCAATGTAAAGCATTGGACCAAAAAAAAAAAAAAGCATTGATCTAGTGCTAAAAAAACAAAAATGGAACCGCAAGTGACACTGCTCCGGTCCTCCAAGGGCATGGAGATGAGTGGCAGCCATCTTTCCTTCACTCATCTCTATTCCCAGCACTGGGATCGATGGTTTTTCAGGTAAGGCTGAGAACTACCGAACGGCAGGTGGTGGGGGGGGTGGCGGCGAGGGGCGGGGTTTTTTCGGCACCTGTATCTTTTTCTTTCATTTCGGCTAACGGCTGAAAGGGGTGTTTTTGGCCGAAACGTTTTGGCCACCGAAATTTTGGTGCATCCCTAATTTTTGCCATTTGATCAGAGTACAACAACTCAGAGGAAGATTAACCCATCCACATCAAATGTGTGGATAGGGAAGTGAGTCTGGTTTTTTTTTCATCCAACTTGCAGGTTTTAAAAAAACACTTAAAAAAAACTTGATTCACATATGGGCTGTCCTAGGCTAGGTTCACACCTAAGCATTTTGCAATGAGTTTTGCAGAAACGCACTAGATCCATTTAACATGATTTCCTATGGGTGAAGTTCACATCTCCGCATTTTCAACCAGTATTGAAACCAAAACGGTGTGTTTTGGTTCAACAGACTTCAATGGAAATGCTGCAAAAACACATGCAGTGCATTTTTTTATGCGTTTTGCGTTTGTAGTCTGCCTAGCAACAAGTTGGCTGAAAAAAAAAAAAAAGATCCCACAAAAACGCAAAATGAATAAAAAAAAAATGCGTCAAAAACACGTGTGCAAAAACGCACTACAGAAACAGATCAAACACAAACTGCATAGGTGTGAACCTAGCCCAAAGCTAGCTATCCACGTAAAGATTTTTGTCCGGGAATTTTCGTTTCAAGAATATTCTTTTTATTTTCTATTCGTTCTTGGGGTCAAATCAAATGTTCGTTTTATAAGGCATTGATGGGAAAATTCAACGGAACAGGAAGGAAAACTTTTCTTGGTCAAATGAATTTTCAGCCAATGTACATGGTTATCGTTCATAAATTACATTCATTTTAAAATCGAATATTAAAAGCAAAAGACAATTTTTTAATGACATTCGTTCATTCATTGAATGTTCAAAGAATTTTTGGATGACTTTTCTTACGAACATTCTTGTCCAAAAATTTACATGTGTATGGCCAACTTAAGGGTGTTTCCACTCTGGATGGAGGAGCAACAGAAGCACCTTTGGACAGCAGCCTTGTCAGTATGAATGCGACAGCAGGGATAATTTTTGCCATGCTGTGGAAACAAAGCATCATGGCCACAGCATATGTACCCCCCCCCCCCCCCCCCTCCACTACCTTTGTGCATATTTACCACCCCACAAACACAAGTGTAAACAAGGCATTAGGCTTAAGCTGGGAACAGTTATCTCCACTCTGAGCTATTGTCTCCTGACAGGGGGACTGCCCACCGCCAGGGCACTCTGGTCAGCGCTCGCTACCATTGGTTGAGCACGCTGATTGCATGCCGATCGGCTGCTAGTTTTTCAGCTATTAGTTCAACAGAAGCCAGTTGTGAGATCAGCTTCTGTCAAACAAGGACCAGATGGGCTGAATTTTGCCCGGTGTCTACTGTACAGGACTTTAGTTTACATTTGCAGTTAGGGGCAGTAAAAGAAGGTAGTTGAGGCATGATTTTTACTGCCCTTGAAGCTGCAGGTGTGCAGCCAGATGGGTTTATACACATGCCAAAGTTGTGATGCTTTGTTTCACAACACAAATGATACCCCTGGACACGTTGTGGTAGTACTGCCCGCAAATATAACCCAATCAAGTGAATGGGGCTGTTCTGCAATCACAAGACGAAAAGCTAGGCTTGCGGTTGAAGCATGGTATTCCCATTCAAAAATGGCAGTTAAAGTGGTAGTAAAGTCTGCGTTTTCACATGTACCTACAGGTAAGCCTATCATAAGGATTGCCTGTAGGTAGTGAATATCTCCTGAACGTGCACGTTTCACATTTGTAGCAGCCGGCGACATCACTGGCACATGCGCACTCTCAATGGACAGAACACTTGATTGTGCCGTACTTTCAGAGCACTGTGTCACAATCGGGACTCCTGTGTGCACGTGTGGGAGTGATGTCACTGCGACTCGGCCATTCCAACAGCCAGAGTGTTCATACCTGGAAGGAAGCCCGGGTGAAAATGGAAGTCCTGTCAGCAGTGACAGAGTGCCGATGGAGGATCTACTTTACAGGTAAGTCTCAGAATATGCTAGTATGCAGTGCATAGCACACCGTGACATTAAAGCAATATTAAAGGTGTTTTTTTTTTCTAAATAACAAACATGTTATACGTGGTTTTGCACAGAGCACCCCCGATCTTCCTCTTCCCGGGTGCCCTGCCTGGCGCACCTTGTTCCTCCCTCCTGCCAAAGCAAGCAGCTTGCCATGGGGGCACCTGAGCAGGCTTGCTCCAGAGCCACTGCTCTGCCTGTCCATTTATGCAGGCCATACATGGTTCGAATTCCGAACGGTTTTTCATCGAAATGTTCGTTCTGTAATCCGATGGTGCCACCAATGATTTTCGAAAATCGGTCATTTTTCACAAATTTTTCCAGCATGCCCAATAAACAAAATGGGGAGGAACCACGAAAATCCATTGCCCCACTAACAGAGCGAAAATCGGTCGATTATTCTTAGGTCCGATTTTCGTACGAAAATAATTCGGAATTTGAACCATGTATGGCTGGCATTACACATACAGCCATGGCTCTGCCACGCCCCTCTCTCTCCTCATTGGCTCACTGGCTGTGATTGACAGCAGCGGGAGCCAATGGCTGTCTCAGCCAGTGAGGGGGGAGAGTCCCCAGAGAGCTGAGGCTCTCATGTACATCACTGGATCACAATGGGGCTTGAGTATTAGGGGGATGCTGCACATGGAAGGTTTTTTACCTTCCTGCATAGAACCTGGAGCCTTTACAACCATTTTAACCTGCAGGGTTTTTGTTTGTTTTCTTGTTTTTTAAAGAGACTTTACTACCACTTTAACCTGCAGGTTTTTGTTTGTTTGTTTGTTTAAAGAGACTTTACAACCACTTTAACCTGCAGGTTTTTGTTTGTTTGTTTCTTTAAAGAAACTTTACTACCACTTTAAAGGGAATAGGGCATCGTTGCAGCCTGAATGTCTGTCAGCCATACTTGCACTGCTCTTTGAAAAGCAATCCACTGTGGATCGCTCTTCAATGAGCAATGCATTAGCCTTTACTGATATCATCAAGGAAAAAAGCCTGAAAAAGAAAACCAATGCAGCCACTACTTTTAAAGTGGTACTAAACCCAGGACCCTGCAGTCAATCTATCTGGTCCCTTACAGTACACAGAACATGTGAATGCAATTATTTTAACAACTATAAACTGTTAAATACCTTTTCTCATCAGCAGCTAGAGCAGTCTTGTGATGTCTATCAGTGTCCAGCTGAGCACTGGTTAAAGCTTGTAGAAGGAGTTTTCATTCTCCTCTGACTGTCCTGTGAGGCTGCATGACCCCTGACACTCTGGGTCCTTTCACACGAGTGTTCTGTTTTTTATCAGTTCAGTCACATTTTTTCAAAGAAAAAACATCAATTTAAATCGGTTTTTGTCATCAGTTTCTCGTCAGTTTTTGCATTTTTTCACATGCTTTACGAATGCAAAAAGATGCAAAAAAACAGACCGTATGTCCGTTTACATCTGTTTATGTCTGTTTATCAGTGTCCTGCTGAGCACTGGTTAAAGCTTGTAGGAGGAGTTTTCATTCTTCTCTGACTGTCCTATGAGGCTGCATGACCCCTGACCCTCTGTGTCCTTTCACATGGGCGTTCCATTTTTTTCATCAGTTCGGTCACATTTTTTCAAAGAAAAAAAACGGATCAGTTTACATCGGTATTTCATCAGTTTTTACATCTTTTACCAGTGTAAAAATAGATGCAAAAATGGACCGAATTTACATTTGTTTTTGTTTTTTTTTTTTAATAGAAGAAAAATAGGGTTTTCTTCTGTTCAAAAAAAACGGATGCGGACATTACAAATGTACACAGATGATCATCCATTTATATCCGCTAGTCCACAGAAATACATGGTTGTCCATTTTTCACCTGTAATTGAACAGATAAAAAAACGGACCCACAGAACGCCCATGTGAAAGGACCCTTACCAAGCAATTGAATAGGTGTACCTAATAAAAGTGGCCAGTGAGTGTACACTAAACTGAGCATGTGCAGAGTAACTCCTAGAGCTCTGTTCTATCAGCAGATGGACTGGGGGCAGTAGAAGGAGGATGATCAGAGAAGACAGGATCAAACAGCGTTTTTACACAATGCAGAGGCACTGTTGAACCCTTAGGTTCAACAGTGAGTATAACAATACAGACTGATTTGACTGCTGAGGGTTTAGTAATGAGTAAAGTGTTTTATTTTTGTTTTTGGAGTGAATAGTTGTTTAGTATATGTGAGCGACAGGATGACACATGCCAAGGCAGAATCCAGAATGGTAAAGAAGTGGTGTTCCTAGGATCCTGAGGATCTCTCTTGTCCTGAGTGTCAGTATGGTGTCACAGGAGCTACACAAAGTCCCTGCTCAGCAGTCCAGGCCATGGAGAGAGCAGTGCATTATAGATGAGGACACACTGCACTGCAGCAGATCCCTGTAGTAAGAGGGATCATAGGGAGCAGGCACCTCCCCCCTCATCAGGTCACATCACACTATATTGAAGTTTCAGCCACTTCCAGCAAGTTGTCCTCCCCCCTCCTGCTCCTAAGGTATGCTCACATGACTCCTCCACGAATACCTGCAGCCAGGGGACTGTCACCTAACACCCCCCCACCACCACCAATCAGCTTACCCCGAACCAGGCTGACAGATCCTTGCCATGGCTGGCCGCCTGATGATGATATAACCTGTCTCCTCGGATGGGCATCGCGGCTCCTCTCTGCTTCCTCACTCCAGCTGTCACACGTGTGTCCCTTTAAGAGCGATCTGCCCGTGTATGTATGCTCCGATCGGACGATCACTTTACTTTGTGTGCTGCCATCATCAACCTGCCCGTGCACACCGTCTGATCCCTCCTAGACCAAGTGTGAACTCCCCCGGGGCAGCTTCCAGCGGGCCTCTACCACCAGCACTCCCACAGGGAGGGGGGAATGTTTTCTGAGTTGGAGAAAGTCCCTCAATTCTCCTGTGAACTCCGGAATCCAGTGCTGATCAAAGGCTGGGCTCAGCAAATACAGAAGATGGCTCTGTTTTCCTGTGTATTCAGTCGGCTACGGAGGACTGACTGCTATTGTACAGACAGTGCTCCCCTCCCGGGAGGAATGGTACAGGCCAAGTGCTGCAACTCCAAGCTTGAAGTTTGGAATCAGATGAGGAGGAGGAGGAGGGGGTGACACCCTGTGGTGTCCTGAGACCAGGAGAAGTCACCATTCATCATCACTGCTCACTGGTGTGTGCCATTCACTGCCCTGGGCAGGAAGACATTGTCAGAGCGCTGGAAACACGGAGAGTCATTGCAATTCATTGTTCTTTATGTGCTTCTCATCTGATCAAGCAGAGACGGAGGATTCATTAAACTACACTTAGAGGACCCTTCACACCGGCGTTCCGTTTTTTATTATTTCCAAGAAAAAAACGGATCAGTTCACATCATTTTTTCATCAGTTTACATCCGTTTTTGTCCCTTTATATACTTTTTTGGTCTGTTTACATCCGTTTTTGTCCCTTTATATACTTTTTACATCCGTTTTTGTCCCTTTATATACTTTTTTTGTCCGTTTGCATCCGTTTTTGTCCCTTTATATACTTTTTTGTCCCTTTTTATATACTTTTTTTTTTGTCCGTTTGCATCCGTTTTTGTCCCTTTATATACTTTTTTTTGTCCGTTTACATCCATTTTTGTCCCTTTATATACTTTTTGTCCTTTTACATCCGTTTACATCCGTTTTTGTCCCTTTATATACTTTTTTTTGTCCGTTTACATCCGTTTTTGTCCCTTTATATACTTTTTTTTTGTCCGTTTACATCCGTTTTTGTGTCCCCCTTTATATACTTTTTGTCCTTTTACATCCGTTTTTGTCCCTTTATATACTTTTTGTCCTTTTACATCCGTTTTTGTCCCTTTATATACTTTTTTTGTCCGTTTACATCCGTTTTTGTCCCTTTTATATACTTTTTTGTCCGTTTGCATCCGTTTTTGTCCCTTTATATACTATTTTGTCCATTTGCATCCGTTTTTGTCCCTATATATACTTTTTGTCCGTTTACATCCGTTTTTGTCCCTTTATATACTTTTTTGTCCATTTACATACGTTTTTGTCCCTTTATATACTTTTTTTGTCCGTTTACATTCGTTTTTGTCCCTTTATATACTTTTTGTCCTTTTACATCTGTTTTTGTCCCTTTATATACTTTTTTTGTCCATTTACATCCGTTTTTGTCCCTTTTTATATACTTTTTTTGTCCATTTACATCCTTTTTTTGTCCCTTTTTATATACTTTTTTTGTCCATTTACATCTGTTTTTTTTCCCTTTATATACTTTTTTTGTCCATTTACATCTGTTTTTGTCCCTTTATATACTTTTTTGTCTGTTTACTTCTGTTTTGTCAGTTTACATCCATTTTTCTTCCTTTTTTTTTAATGGAAGAAAAATAGGCCCCTTTCACACAGGCGTTCGGGGTTTTTTTATCAGTTCAATCACGATTTTGCAAGAAAAAATGGATCAGTTCACATAAATTTTTCATCAATTGACATCAGTTTTCATTATTTTCATCAGTTTACATCTGTTTTTCATCCGTTTACATCTGTTTTTTTTGTCCATTTTTCATCCGTTTTCATCTGATTTTTGTCCATTTACATCTGCTTTTTATCCATTTATATCTTTTTGTTGTCCATTTCCTCCGTTTTGTCTGTTTACATCCATTTTTTGTCCATTCTGGTTTTTTTACCGGAAGAAAAATGGGCCCCTTTCACACAGATGTTCCTTTTTTTTTCACCAGTTCAGTGACGTTTTTTTCAAGAAAAAATGGATCAGTTCACAGCAGTTTTTCATCAGTTTACCATCAATTTAAATCCATTTTTCATCCATTTTCATCAGTTTTTCATCCATTTTCATCAGTTTACATCTTTTTCATCTGTTTTTTGTCAGTTTGCATCAGATTTTTGTCCATTTATATCCATTTTTGTCCATTTACATCCGTTTTTGTCCATTTACATCCGTTTTGTCTGTTTACATCAATTTTTCGTCCATTCTGTTATTTTTATCAGAAGCAAAATAGGCCCCTTTCACACGGGCGTTGTTTTTTTCATCAGCTCAGTCACATTTTGTCCAAGAAAAAACGGATCAGTTCACATCAGTTTTTGATCAATTTATGTCAGTTGTTCATCAGTTTACATCAGTTTTTCATCTGTTTTTCATCAGTTTACATCTGATTTTCGTCCATTTACATCCATTTTTGTCCATTTATATCCTTTTTTTGTCATTTACATCCGTTTTGTTCGTTCACATCCGTTTTTTGTCTGTTTACATTAGTTTCTGGTGCATTCCGTATTTTTTTTAACGAAAGAAAAATAGGCCCCTTTTACATGGGCATTCCGTTTTTTTCATCAGTTCAATCACGTTTTTTCCAAGAAAAAACGGATCAGTTCACATCAGTTTTTCATCAGGTTACATCAGTTTTTCATCACTTTATGTCTGTTTTTCATCAGTTTACATCCATTTTTTGTCCATTTTTCATTCGTTTTTTGTCTGTTTTCGTCAGTTTACATCCATTTTTGTCTATTTTCATCTGTTTTTCGTCCATTGACATCTGTTTTTGTCCATTTATATCTGTTTTTTGACTGTTTACATCCGTTTTTTCTTCCATTTACATTCGTTTTTTCATCCATTTACATCCATTTTTCATTCATTCCAGGTTTTAACGGAAGAAATATAGGCCCCTTTGGGCTCTTTCAGATGGGACAGACCCGTTTAGCAGATCCGCTTGCTCAGCAGGTACCCAGAACTGCAAAATATAATATATATACGTAATTTTGTGTACCCGTGCTGCCCTGTAGCAGTATTTGTGCTATAGGGTGGCATGGAAGCAGTTAATTGTTTTTGCATTGGAGTCTGAAAAGCATTGCAGCTACAATCAGTGGGTCATGGTTGCAATGCTCAGGCTCCTGCAGTCTATTTCTTCTGCCCCAAGTCCAAACGGAGGTATACATAAGTATCCCTGATGAAGCACATTGATACAATGATTGGGAACTAACAGTTGTAAACCTGGGACTAGGTGGTGGCTGTAAGTATGTTTGACAGGGGTAAAAACATTGTATAGGCAGGTCACCTTCTAATATCGCTTAACTGTAAAGATGATTTTACTGTAAGGGTTCTTTCACATAAAGGGTCCGATCAGGTGCACCCATCAGTTTTTCAGGCAGACTTGATCAGATGGTCCAGTTTCCTTTATAAACAGGAAGGTGTAAATGGACTTGGGTCCAATTTCGTCCACTGAAAAAAAACCGCAAGAATCTGTCCCCTTCTGTCTATTATTATTATTATACAGGATTTATATAGCGCCAACAGTTTGCTCAGCGCTGTACATTATAAAGGTGGATTGGAACGGATTGAAGGGCAGTCAGGTGAAAACAGATAGCAGAGTCCATGTACACCCATCCACCCAAAGAGCAGATCGGCCTCTGTGTATGTCCACCCTGCACAAACTGAGCGGACACAGATGCGTCATACGTCCACTCTGCTCTCATCAGCTGACAGATCTCAATGGAGTCCATGTGAAAGGTGCCCTACAAATACATTCCTGGATGTTATGGTGTGCTGTTATTACCAAAGGTATTGGTAGGCTTTTTACTGTGGATACTACTGTGCTAGCAGGTTGCTCTGTATTACTCAAGTTCTTTGAAGTCCTGTGGAGTCTGAGCTATGACTGGTACCAGAGTGATCTGGATGTTTCTGCACCTTGTTCCAGTGCTTCTCCAGAGCATGCCATTACTTTCCCTGGGATATGAGACAAATGAACATGCCATTGCTTTCCCTGGGATATGAATCAGTTCAATGAATATAAGGAAGGGGCCCTCCTAAGTGGGGCAGCACAGTGGCTAAATGGTTAGCACTTCCACCTTGAGGTACTAGAGTCATTGACTTAAATCCCAACCTGCCTGGAGTTTACATATTCTCCCTGTGCACATGTGGGCCTGGTCCAGGCACCCCCACACCCCAGAAACATGCTGGTAGGCCAAATGGATTCTGTCCAAATTGGTCATAGTATGCATTTGTATAAATGTAAGTTAGGGACCTTAGATTGTATGCCCCTTGAGGGTTAGGGACCACATCAGTGTACAAAATATATATATAAATGTAAAATCACTGCATAAATTGACAGCACTATTTAAGTACCTGTAGTAAGTACATCTGTGATTCTGCCACTTTTTTTTTGTTATCCACATCTAAAAGGTGAGAACAAATTAGTCATTTTTTGAATGGTGTATCCTCCTATCTTTCTTCAAACTCAAAGTTTGTCATCTCACCATGAAACAGAATGGTGCTGACAGCAGGTGTGGTGCTGTAAGATGGATGGAGAATAGAACTAAATATACAGTATATGCAGCAATCAGCAGTCAAACCTTTAAAAGTCCTGGGTGTAGTGACACTGAGCACTGGCTTTCCGATGACATCTCCTCTAAATGTTTAGTATACAACAATGGCCTCATTGACATAGACGTATATAATAAAGGCATAAAATATGACTTGCATAAAAAACATGTTGTTTCCCCACGATCGCGGAGCTGCAGGTGAAGCATACAGCCAGTCATAGTTGTGAGTGGCTGTACACCCCTTTACTTGTATAAATGTTGATGTTTCTTTGCATCAGTGTTTACACACATACAGAACTGTTGTCCATGTGCTTGTAGCATTAAAGAGCCTCTG